CAGTCGGGTCATCAGAGGCGCCCAGAGTCGGGTTATGAGATCCGTGGCGGAATTCGATATTCGTGTTGCATTAATCAGAGTCTAATCAGAGGCAGAGTCTTCTGAAATTTAGAAATCAAATTAGGTATTGAATAAGTTTGGCTGGGGTCTAGGATTCAAGGCTGCTTAACGTTCACAAACTTTCACCATAGATCTTCCACGGTGGCTGATGTCATCTGTTGCAGCCAGAGTTATTTTTGAAGCCCGTCTGCGACGCATGACACTGGCAGCTCGCAAGCTTTCACCAATGTATAGCCTCTACTCTCTTGTGCTGTTTGTTTTATTTAGAGCAGAAATGCAAAACAAATGTGGCTGTGCAGCCAGAGGCAAGCTGAAGTCTGCAGTGGGTAGGCGCAAAAATGAGATTACCCTTTAAGCGGCTGAAAATAATCAGATAAATGCAATCGACCACTATATAAAAAGTGCGTGCAGTTCCGACTATCGTGGCACGCCACCACCCACCCAGGCGGCCGGTTGAATACCATGTGCACGGGCGCGGTGGGGGAGGGGGTGGGCGAGGGGCCACTTTGAGCCGCTATGAGAACATTAAAAACTAAAGACATCAGTCTTACAAGGTAGGTATGGGTCTATGTCGATTTATTTGCGTCAAATTTGTGGTCCCTAAGTCGTTATGGGTAAGATCGAACTCCTCATGGTCGAATAAGCTCAAACAATCTCAAACTGGAGGTCGCATCCAAAGCGGTCTCAGGCCTCCTCAGACGATGACCTTCACCTTAAAGAAAGGTCACTGGTAGTCATATAAATTTTCTGGCCTTATATGACGCTTGAAATAATTAAATGGTATAATTATTAAGATTCATCTGGTTATCTGAATTTAAAATGAGCGTCAAGAACGACAGTATGATCCTCAGCACAAATGGTCGATCAAGGTCATTTTGGTCAGTGAAACTTCCTGACCTTCACAATGATAAAATAAGGAGTCGGTTAACGTACTTGTGACAAAAGAACTGTAAATGAACATGGAAAGCTATACGCATAAATCCAAGTTTTTTAAGCAAGAGAGCTGTTCGATTTGCCTGTAATCCGATGCTCATACCTGTCTGAAGGGGACTGGAGTCAGTTGTATTTCCAATTCAACTTGTTTAATTGCATAAGAAACCCTTTTAAGGTTGTGTGATTTCGTCTAGCACTCTGTTACCGTACCAGCTTGAAAGATTTCCTGACCATCGCTTTGGTGAAAACCATGGTCATGACCTTGACAGGAAGATCTGTTTTGTAATCCCAAGATTGGCCTTTAAATTACTTACAAATTCAAAAAACTTGGCAGCGGTGCGCAGCATAGTTCGGAAGCGATTCTGCGAACACCTGGAGCAGGAGGGGGTTGGCCGCATAAAAGTGCCCTTTATTAATTAAACATCGTTTGAGGGAATATTCGTTATTAGAAGTTATGGAGGAAACATTGAATGTGATGACATAAACCCACTTGCAAACACACGTTTCCTTTTAATGAAACTTTTTATCGTCTTCGTTCGATAACGTCACGGAACGTCTTTACGACGTCAGTCGCTACCATACTGCTCTTGCCAGAATTGCCACTATAGTGTACGGGCTGACTCACTTGTAGTGCTTAAGCTCGCTGAAAGTGTCCGTGTTTGCTGGAGCGTGTTTACGGAACCTAATGTCGTCATGTGCCCGTGTTTTCGCCTTTCCGTGTGAGATGGTGTTGCATATTCGTCCGTGATTTTATGCTGCTTATTTGTTTTTGCACACTCGGTTATTGTGCTAATTTACGTTATTTGATTCCCATTCTTATCTATTTCATAACTCGTATCACTGCCCAAATTCCTGTATTATGTAGCACACAACGTGATCCGTGTTCGGAACTTACACTGAACGCAATACATTGGTGGACGCCCAACTAAAATCCGTTGGTACCTGAAATCGTGCTAACGTACGCCAAACACGAATAACCCGTGGATCATATTTGTATTGGCCTTGAGTACCACACAGCCAAAGAGATGGCAGTACTGAAGTGACGTTTCTATGCATCACACATGCCCAGGCAGCCCTGAATAGTCCGCACTAAATGTCTGCACAAGCTCGCGGGCGTCAGGCTCATAAACACAAGCATTTTAAGTTTTAAAAGGGTCATGGCTTGGAACTGCACATAATTATCTTCAAAATGGCTACCTCATTTCAAAATCCCATGCAAATGTGGGACAATGCCCTCAAGCTCACGTCCCAAAAGGCTCCCGTTGATCCGAAATTTCAAGATAGGATGGCACTGTCTGGGTTCACACAACAATCACTGCTTAGTGAGGTGGCTGGCCCCAGAAACTTTTCCGATCAAATGCTCGGGCTCATTTCAAAAATGGTGCTTGGGTTAGGTAAGGTAGCCTACCCCAAATGAGTCATATGATGCCAGCATGTGCTGAGGTTAGTGGCTGACTTTGCACAGAAATGAAATACGTTAAATGGAGCGAAAGTCCAGCACAAAATACATGATTCTTTCGAATTCTTCCGAACCGTTGTTTTCACTGGTACACCTGTGAACAAACCCTACCAACCCACACCTTGATCACATGTCCTGGTTCTAAATCCCGTATCTCTTGGAATCCAAGATACAGTTGGAAATCGTTCGGTATCAGGGATCGACTTCCAAGGCTTTTTTAGAACTCACGATAGCAGCCTGAATCTTATCTCAAGTTTTATCCAAAGATCAAATGACGTTTGAAAGTCATAACTTAATTTAGTTGACGTGTTTCATCTGAAAGATTTTCGTGCATCCCTGCGCATGCACACGCACTTCATGTTCTGTTTTTTAAAATAGATAAGACATTGCGACTCAAATAGAGCGGACCTGTTAAAAGAGTTTCTGACTTTATTCGTTCAAGAACGAACATATAATTTTCACTCTAGAATTCAAAACTCCCCTGCGATACATGTACTGCCACCGCAGACTTTTCTGCGACCCCAACTGACACACAGAGATATGCGCGGCTGTCTGCTGCATTGCCTACATTCTGCTTCATCCTACATTCTGCTGCATCTGCATCCATCCTGCCCGTGCATGGTACCTTCAGGTCTCGTCACGCCCGTCCGATTCTCGTCTTCTGTCTAGGAGACGGCCGTTGCCATTCATTGGCATGGGGTGCGCACACGCGTCCTCGCTGTGGCGCCCTGCACCGTGCCACGTTGGCACGCACGTCCTCGGTGCGGCACCCTACACTGTGCCACGTTGGCACGCACGTCCTCCGTGTGGCCCCCCGCACTGCGCCGCGTCGGCACGCACGTCCTCGGTGCGGCGCCCTGCACTGTGTCATGTCGGCACGCACGTCCTCGGTGTGCCGCCCTGCACTGTGTCATGTCGGCACGCGCGTACTCGGTGCGGCACGTGCGGCACTCTGCACTGTGTCACATCGACGTGACGCGCCTACTCAGCCCCCCGTATCTGGGAGCGTCCGATTACCAAGGCACGGCTGCGCTGTGATTACCATTCCGGCTGTTGTGTGGCATTGATTCTTCCTGAGCTTTCGGCGTCAGGACATTTCGCAGGCATGGGCGGTCAGGCACTTGTTATT